TTTCTTTCGTATTCCAGTAAAAATACTAGACTTTTTATTTTCATCTCTAAATAAATATAATGATTATTTTAAAAAAATAGTCATTTGAAAAAAATTCAAAGTGTCAAATTCTAGGAAAGAGATTTGCTTAAAATTATATACTATTTTTTTACAAAATATATCTTCAAAAAAAAAAAAAAATTAAATAATCGTTTTTATATGGAAGAGTTTAGAAAAAAGTATCCGATATGTTTTTCAAGGAAAATAATACATGCAAGTACTTATTGAAAGCATTAAATTTTCTATCATCATAATAAGTGGTCCCATAATTTGATATTTATCACAAAAAAATAATCCTGTAACTTGGTAACAGTCAATTTCCATGAATTTATAACTATTTCAACATAACGTCCATTGTACAACTGTCATTTTGTCACTCCATTATACATATTTTTTTTTCTATTTACAGCCCATCATGAACAAACTGGTTTTTGTCATCGCATGATGCAAATTTTTTTTTTTAATAATTAAAATAAACGACGATGAATATTTATAACGAGCTGACGTTTGATGGAGTGCATCATATATCCGCGGTCCAGTTGCGTTGAAGAGGGACAAGGGATGGTTTGATGCTCTTCATGTAATATATTCACCCTTTGAACCCTTTCAAGGCCGTATGGTTACGGCTGAATGGCCATTTGTAGGACACACGCGTCATTCGTCTGTGTCTCATCGTGCAAAGAAGACAATCGATGCACAATCCACATGTTATTGGATGCTATACTCATATACATACATGTCCCATGCGCGTCTGTCTGTCCAATAGCTATACGAAGAGCTTAACATGAGTCCACGTTACACACGAGTGATCCGAATCAATTCAGTACACCGGATTACACGATTGGATATGGATTTATCATCAAGATCAGAAATGTTTGTTGAATGTTCATCAATAAGCTAATTTGACAAGTGAATCATTTATCATTATTTACTTAATTATGCCTTTGATAAAAATAAAATACCAAGATGTAGATTAATCTTAAGGGATTTCACCAAATCCTTCACTAAATTGTATTGGCAAACTTCTTGCACTAAAAAATACAATACGAACAACGGAAAAAAATCCTATGCCACAAAATTACTCTTAATTATCATTTCATTTGAATACTCAATGGATAAAAAAAAATTTTTTTTAATCTTTTTAATTAAGTTATCATTAATTTCGTTGATTAATTGATGAAACAAACTTTTTGTAAAGACAGCTTGCAACTCCACAAGCAAGGATAAGATTATTAATTTGTAGGTATTTTAATTATTGAATTTTCTCTTGTGAAATCTTTATAAATATTTATATGTCAACTAAAAACTTTGGAAAAAAAAAATTATTTGAAGAAAATCAATATTTAATCTTACATTTATCCGTTTGTGGATCAATATAGAATAATTTTTGTCACTTAATCACTACAATAAAATAAATGATAGTGGTAATTAAAAAGAATTTATTTTATGAACATGTGAAACAGATTTATTAAAAGTTGTTAAAAGTTTGATGGTAATTCTAAACGTAAAACAATTCATTGAACATGAATATAACAATCCGTGTAACAAATAAACGAGATGGTAAAAATATTGGAGGAATTCGATTTCGAACAAGCATACAACTTCAAAGATGAAAGTACATTGGTATTTGCATGTGTGGAATAACAGTCGAAAAGGCATACATAATTTAAATGAAAGCTATTTAAAATGAAATATCTTAATAGTTATAACACTATTAAAATAATTAAAATAGCTAGTTAATATTTTAATTTAAGTGAAAGTTACAGAATAACAGAAAATTATTGCATTAGAAATCCCAATTTTCGAGAGAGAAATTATGTCTGCAAGACGCAAGAATTAGGGGACAAATCTAGCCAGGAGATAATCCTGTGGCCTAGAAAACGACACGACCGAGAGAAATGAGACAAGAAGAAGATCAAAATACTTTATTCTACCTATATTTTTATCTCACTTACTCCTACTCACTCTCTTTCCGTCGTTTCGCTAGATGCAATTAAGGGGGTTGGATCATCCAATTTGTTCATGAGACCGCAACAATGTTCCTTGATTGAAAAGAGAGTCAAATCCGTCGACGCCAAGATTTTTTTCTCTTTTTCATCTTTACCTATTTCTTAGTCAACTATAAATTTGTTTTCTCTTAATTATTATTATAATTATTTTATTATTTAATTAATGATTTCAAGTTACTAACTTTATCTCCAGCTGCACTGAAGGAAGGATCAGAGTTATCGAAATTATTTGTTCTTTGAAGTTTCTTGAAGAAGAAAGAAAATAAAGACAATGTTACATTCAACTTTAATTCAATTGTCGTTTCAAATATTTCAGGAGTAAAATGTAATTAAATTTATTAAAAATATATTGAATTAAATTATATAAACAACAATGAGGTAAATAAATAATAAAATATTTAGTAAAAGCATCTGTGCATTTGATAAAAAGATAATAAGGATGAAGAGTAGATAAAAAAATATAAAAATAATACTTAATGTATGGATTTAAAAATATTCTGCTGTATCACCTCGACTGGTTGGACAATAGAAATGGATTAATTATAGACGTGACAACTATTGGAATATCGGCAGGAGATTAATCTCCGTTATTCCGTAAAAAATGTAGAGGTAGAATGTCTGGACCAGTGGTTGCGGTCGATCGCGACGAGACTCGTTTATTTATAGTATACATATATTCACCAGCTCTTCAATCTTCAACCGATACTCATATGCATCTGCAAGCGTGTGTCTCTCTGCATTCGACAGCAACTCAAAATAAATACGCGGTAGCTCTCAGCGTCATCACCATCAGAAACAGACTCGTCCCTCGAAATCTTGGAAAATTATATACGAAGGTTTATTATATGTATAATAATACTTGCTGATTTTGTGATTTATTATCATCAAAATATATCATCACTTCAGGAAGATAAACTCGTAAATAATTCAATAATATCCGAGTAAAAGGCTCAAAAGAGGTCTAAAACATGTCCAAACTGAAAAAAAGCCGAACACAGACCCAATTTAAGCCCAAAAATATTTTTGGGCCTGATTAGAATGCGTTATGGGCCTGAAACATGTTTTCAGGCTCGAATTGGACCTCCATTGAGCGTGCCCAAAAACTGACTTTTATAAACAAAATAAAAACTTGTCATTTTGACAACCAAAGTTTTTTCTGTCTCCAAAACCGAATAGTTGACGTGAAAATCTTTTTGTTGTTTTATTTAGAAGGCAACTTTTTTGCAGAAGATTTATTTGACAATTTAATAAGCGTATTTTGACTGTATTTTGAGGGTTGTCAGTGAAGAGATGAAGAGAAGGTGGGGGTGAAGGAGGAGCAGAGCGGCGAATTGTTGAATAGACGTCTTGGGACAAATCACAAGAATTTCACTGAGTATCTTCTACAAGAGGGTGGATGTGGGGTGGGTTTATGGAGGGAGCTCTTGCAACTATACTGTGTTCTAATTGTGGCACACTATAATCGCGCTCAACCACCCTTCTGCATGAGCGCTCCTCACGATATTTCGGATGAGAGAGAAAGACGTGTAGACGAGAGAGGTGGAAAGCTGCATTACAGGCTGCGTTTGCGGCGCGGAAACGTGGCTCGACCCGTAATGTACTCGATGAGCTTAATAATCAGGAATACACGGAATTACGTGGAGTGAATAGGAACAATGTACGTGATACTGTTGCATACGATACAGCTGCACTTGACGCACTCTTACAATCGTTACAAAAGCTCTTTAATTAATTATTTACTTTGTTGTATATACAGTGAATGAGAAATTTCTATTACGAATATACATATGTATAATATATCTATTCATTATTAGGAATTATTGGTTCGAATAAACCATCTATGATATGAATATTATTTAGTACTTACAAAGGGTTCAAAATTATTATAACGATTTGTTATCGGTTGGAAAGATTAGCCCCAAGCTATAATGATAATCGTTCAATTGAAAATATTATGCTTCCAATTATTCAATAATTAGTATTATTGACTCTTCATATTCATTATTATCATAGAGAATATTCCTATTTTCTCATTGTATTTATTTCTCGGTAGAAATAGTATTACTCCGAGTCTTTGTTTGATCTTTGCATGTCGGTACAAATTTAAAAAAATAACTTGAATCATGGTATTATTTTTTTTTTTTTTTAAACTTTGTTCCAATCAAATAAATGGTTACAATAGTCTAAGAGGTAATAGTTTGGAGTATAGAGAGAGAGAGAGTGGAATAAGTTTTCTATTACAAAATGTTTTGATTGTAGAAAGAGGAAAGTGAATTGCTTTTGGTGCGTGTTTACACGCAATTTCGCAATAGTTCTTACTGGCAGTCGGGTGGATTATTGATTTTCGGCTAGAAGGGTGTTCTTGCTCTCTGTCACCAGTAGTGAAACTACGCCGTCTCTTTATAAGGGTTGTGACTACTCTATGGGACTGTTTAAGCACAAAAAATGGCCGCTAACAAACCACCGCACGTGCAAGTATCCGGAGTAAAAAACGGAGATGAATAAAAATAGAAAAGAACCACTCAAAAATTCGTAACGGAATTGTTCAAGTTGGACGCGTGGCTTAAGTCTTTTTTCTTTCTTTAACGGAAACATTATGGGGGTCAAATAGAAGGGTGTCTTGAGCGTGTGTCGAATTAACTTGATTCCCTTAAAAAAAAGTGTAGCAAAATCAATTGGAAAATTGACAAGCGTAAAAATAATTTTCTTTCTTGAATATTTTATTCGTTTTATTCACTAGAGATGCATTAACTTGACTATTTATTGTATTAAAAACCCACCCATTTTCATTTATCTCATTCTATTGCCGAATTTTATTTTTCTCATATAAAATGATCCAGAAAACTAAGTAAATATTTTTCACAAGTGTATCTATCAGTTCAATTTATGAGAAATTAATAAAAATATTTCACTCACGAATCAATGAATTCTTAACTGTTCGACTCGACTTACTTGGAATTTTGCCTGAAACAAGAAATAAAAACAGTCCATTATTTAAAATATCGAATATTTTTAAACGACGGTATTTTATTTAGTAAATAAAGTACAATATGGGATTTGGAATGGAAATAAAATAATAATAATAATGAATAGAGTGAAACCGTCAAATGGATAACATGATAAATGATAAAATGAAATAAAAAAAAAATTTCGCATTAGCAATCTCGGAAGTCGGAGGGATGAGGCACGATAAACGGAATCCACAGGACTACGAAGCAGGGGGTCAGGCATTAGTAGATTTAGTGCGCATTTATTGGCTCCCAGAACAAAGGGCGGTCAAGGGGTGGAAAGCATCGTAGTGACCGCCAGGCATCTGCTTTGGACATTCGGCGTAATTGCATTTACAAACACAAACGGGTAGTACGCCAGAGTTACGCACGAGCCAGAGAGAGAATAAGCGCGGTGCACGCAACTACACTGTGTTGTACAACCGAGTTTGAGTGCACAATCTGCGTATTCTCTTTTACTGTTTGCATACCTCGAGAGCGCGGATTTTAAATGAATTTAAATGTCAGCCCCGCGGGTCTTTGAAGAGTTGTCTTCAGGGAAGAAGAAAAAAATAGGAAATAAAGAGAAATTGTATCGAGCTTTCAAAGCAATTTTTCCTTGCTTTTCATTGGGTTCCTCCCTCCCCCTTTTGCAGTGATTCTTTTTCTTTTTCTACTATGGAAATACAAAAGGTTTAATTAAAGAATTTTTACTGATAGATATGGTAGTGGAGTTAAATGTTGAATCTTCCTTCTTTACACTTCAATACACGAGGAAAAAATTGAAAAGAATAAGAAAAAGAAAGTTTTTGGTACTGACGTAGATAAAGTTCTCGATTCGCTAGTGACTACCAAGCTTTGACTCAGTTTTGTGAGTAACACGTGTTCGTGGGATAACTTTTTGACCAGAAAGAAAAACTTTTGCAGGTGGTTAGACAGAGAAAAATTATTGATATGTGTCCAGTAATTTGTGACTTGCTTTTATTTCATTTAAGAATCTATTCTGCTTTCAAGAGCAGTGATCATATTTTTCTCACATTCTACAAATTATTATATTTATCCACTCGACACAGTTTTATTTTTATTATGAATTTTTTTTTGTGAAAGGAAAAAAATGAAAATGATGAGAAAGAATAAAATGTATTTCTCTTCCTTGTTATTTATTCTTAGAAAATAATTTCCTTGTGCTCATATGTACTGCTCATTGGACTCTATTATAAGTACGGTAAATATACGACGGAAATTAAGGAGAATACATGGAGGTATGTAATATATGTATATCGTGGGAAGTATCACTGCTGTGCTAGATTTTGTGGAGTTTACTCATCCTCTCGTCTTCTGCAATCCGCATACGATCTGGTATTTGCTGAGATACATCAGAGTATCAATATCTCTCGCTTTTCAACGTAAGGCAAGGGATATTGGTTTGCCACCCTTCGCAATCAATTCGCAACCAAGACGAAATTTTATATTAAAATTCACTAAATAGCAAAAAAAAAAAAAAAGAACTGAATATTAAATAAAGAAAAAAAGGAATCTATTGGATAAAAAATTTCCATCATTTTAAGAACAAAAATGTGCAAGTGAGAAGAAATATAATCTCTAATATACTTCTAGTTCACTTAGTTTAAGATCTAAAGGGGGTGGACGAGAGAGTGAAGGGAAAACAAAAGCTCATAGAGACTCAGGAAGACGAAGAGTTTGGTATGAGCTTGATAAGTAGAGGAGTCGATGAGAGGAAAAAAAATGTACCAAGTCATGCACAGTATTTGTCTTTTTTTTCTGCATAAGCCAAAAGAGGGAATGAAAGAAATAAAATGTCTAAGCATGAAGTCTTGGCGAAAGCTCTTGACTGTCTGATGGCATGCGAGCAAAAATCTTGGGGCTAGTGACGATAGGGCTACTCTTGATTCTCTTGAAACCCTTTCGGGTACTCTTTTGGACTCTTATTTGTCGCTTTGTTTGCTCTTTGGCTTTGGATAAAAAATCTTTCATACACCAAAGTAGCGTACTCTCACTTTTTTTCTCCATCAATCTCTTTGAATGTCGAGCTATTTTGTTTCTCCCCTCACCATTATTCTCTCTAGAGTCTCAATCCGCTTCTTATTATTTTTTTTTTTCTACTATTGCTCTCCCTTTATGACATATCGAGCCGTCGAATAAAAATACAGTGGCTCTTACGTACGCTGCAGGAGGTTCGATTTTCTTTATACGCCACGAATAAATCCCGTGGTATTGGTAGGTAATACCAGCGTCTTCTAGTCCCTTTACTTTATCCAACCTTACCCCCTCACGGCGTTCCACTACATTTCCCTGACTGCATCCGCTTGGGAGCTGCAAGAAAGAAGAGAAAACGCCAACAGGAGTTGGAGGAAAGCAAAGTGGATGTAGACCGAACCTGTACGGCCGGCGCCTTAAAGAGGCCATGTCCTACTCCCGAGAGGAAGAAAAAGACACTTAAACCACTTCAGGTTTTTCCGTTCTCCTTTTACGTCTTCTTCTCCTTTTACACTTCTTCCTCTTCACGTCATTCTATCAACTAAAATAAACCTCATTTTCTATCAAGAACTCATGTTTATTAGAAAAATTATTCTTCTAAAGCCTATCTCACTAAATAAATATTTTTTATCAATAATTTATTCCCTTTTCATTAAAACTCTTAATAAATAATCCGAATTTTTTTATCGTAAATATTCTTCATTCGAGACACAAAAAATGTTGATGACAGAGACTAAATACAGCTGTCACTTGACAGTGTAAACTGTAACAAAATCTGTCGACAACAGTAGGTTAACATTGAAATTTTTTGAAGTAAATTTCCACCGTCTTGGATATACTGAAAGACTGTATTTCTGTCGCTAAAATATATTAGAGCCTTTCAACACTAATAATAAACAGTTAAATTCCACAGGTATTTAATGTCTACTGAGTATCTTAATCTTGAAACACCGACAGTGAATGACGACGTCGTAAAAATGAAAATACCTCTAATCCGACGATTAATGTTGGTGTTTTGACAGAGTTAGCAAGGATAATTGTGACATTTTATCCCAACTGTTAGTCGTTAATTTAACTATGAAAAAAAGCACGTTGTTTTTTGCTCATTCAATCCCCTTGGATATTATTTTTTAATTTTTAACTTCTGGTCATTGTTTAAATGACATTCATTGACTCTATTTAATCAAATAAAAATATCATTTTCTCTTAATCAAGTTTTTTTTAATTTCGCTGATATTTAAAGTACCATTTAAAAGTAAAACAATTTTTTGAAATATTGTTTTAAAATTTTTTATTGATAAAAAAAAAATATTTATATTTTGTTTTGAATGAAAAGAAATATTTGAAAATAATCCAATGTATTTTCACCTCAATTAAAATATCCAATTCAGAATGAAAGTAGTTTTTGTTTTAAGAGGAAAGGGAAAGAGAGTTAATAGACTATAAGACACCTTTTTGAACAAAATAATTCATTCATAAAAGCGGATTTTATAAAGACAAAGGCCGAGGACTTGGTCCAAAGCAAGAGGGCGTCACACAAAAATATAACAATTCATAATCCAATTTATGACAAGCAACGAACAGTACCACTTCCGGCATTAAATCCAAAGGATTAATTCTCCACCTAAAGCTTTTGGTCACCCTTCCTACCTCCAACCACCACCCATCAACTAAAATGAGAGGATTTCTAGTAAACTGTGTAAAACCTCTTGGGTTCTACATTTCTATTTTCAGTATTTTGCCAGCGAACAAAATGTCTCGAATCAGCTCAGAATCATCTGTATCCGTCCACAGTATTGTCGTAGTCCCTCTCTCTTTTTTTTTTTATTTTCCACCCTTTCTCATATCCCGAAAAGTCGTGGCAATTTGTCTAGCTACTCGTTTCTCTCTTTTTCTACGGATTGTCGTCTTGGTGCTATGAATCATCGAGTTACTTTGCTCTAAAAGTTATTGACAATAGCCTGAAACAATTTTGAGGAGTTTATATGAGGAAGCTTTTGGACGCTAGCAAGCCTGTATAAGCGGCATTGTTCACGGAAACGTGTCACCACCCTCGCAGGGTTTCTGCTCCAGGCTAAGGGTAGGTTAGCGAACATACAGTTATGGCCAAAATTATTTGAACGCTTTTGAACGATCTCAATTCCTCAACAAATTATCAAAGAACTCTAAAATAATTTAGTCATTGTTATGTCTTTGTTATGAATTTCAAATAATAACAATGCATTTCATTACTATACAATTCATTATTTTTATCAATTGTTCATTATACGCTTTATTAAAATAATCAAATTCCTCTCTCTATTATTTTTTTATTTTATTTTTATTTATAATTTTAGAGCTTTAGTGTAAAAAGATACATTTGCGAGATATTTAAATGTTGAAATAAATAATTGAAAGTTGATCTATTTTTTTTTTTTATTCTTGGAGATAATAAAAATGTTATTTATGTTATAATGAGAGATAAAAAAATATCAATTAAAAGTACTGATTATTAACAGAATGTTGAATAATAGAAAATAGGTAAATTATTTTTGGCCAATACTGTAAGGGATGAACGGAGAAGGGATATGCTTTTAGTCGTGAACATTGGAAGACCGTATGGGCCATGGTACGTTGCACTAGGGGGTGATTTCGACCACCGCCATTGCCACCCCCTCTACAGAAACACCGTGTTCGTCAAAGTGGGCGTGCGTCGCGTATTTTCGGACCAGGGAGTAATCGAGCATGCGCATGCAATTCATGATATCCCTATGTACGCTCTAAATATCACTGACCAGAGATATCAAATGTTTGTCTAGGGGATGAATCCCTTTGGGAAATACATTAGTTGTAAAATTTTCATGCGTCAAATATTTTTTATCTGACGTAAGTACTAGAAACTTTAATTGATTGATTTTGATGGATTTGTATAAAACATCATCACTATAGATGCTGCATATCCATCTGTTTTTCATAAGCTAAAATATTTTATATATATTT